ACATTTCTTGAGAGTTTGGGATCCTTGTTCTTCCCTTATCCTAAGAAATGGGTTTTCTCCTTTCACATTGCCAACCCCTCTACATCTTCTACCTGCTCTAAGGTGGGGCATCACCCTCTACCCCATGTCTTTTGCATGTCTTCACTCTTTCTCACCACTGGATCCTTAGCCTATGTCCACACGCTGTGCTCAAAAAAAAAAAAAAAAAAGACAGACTTCCAAAAGCCAAACTGCAACTTTCATTCATTCTTTCTCTGTAGCCCCAAATGGCTCAGTAGTGCACTCCACTGCTTTCTAGAAAGCCAGTGGTTCCCTCTGAGGACTCCCCTCCCCACTCCACATCACTCTCCCCTCACCCCCACAGCAGCGTGGACTACACTGATGATCACCCACCACTGGATTCTGTTCTCCCTTGGCCTCGGGGCCCTCACTCTCCAGGTCTTCTTCTTGTTCTCTGACTACTCCTTCCTCCCCTCAGATGCCCTAAGCCTGGGTAAATCCCAAGGGCATATAATTGAAGATATACACAGGCTGGGTCAACGACTGTGACCATGCAGGAAAGCAAATTTGATTATTCATTGGACAAATAATAAATATGTGCTGAATAATCTATGAGCCTGACATTACTTTAGATTCAAGTAAGACAGATGAGGTCTTTGCCTTGTGGAGATACACAATAAAGTAAAAAAAAAAATCAACTAACAAGCAAATTTCAATTATGAAAAATACTAAAAATTTTATAAAATTCAGCAATATTATGGAGAATGATGAAGGCAGACAGATTCAGGTTTTAATGTAAAAACAGTGGATATTAAACTGTTAGCAACTAATTTTTTTTTAAATTTAAATATGTGAAGTCAGGAGGCCAGAAAAACCTTATTTCCCAGATCTCATTGGCAAAATAGCCCACCAGATTGCAAGTATGTTATGAGCCCTCACTACTCAGTCTATTCCAGGGGCCAGAATTGTGTTAGAAATATGACATGTCTCCCTCTGTCCCTAACCCCAGACCTCCTGGATGAGAATCTGTGTTATGGCAAGATCCCCCCAAGTAACTTCATTCATATTTGACACAGAGGCCTTCAGAGCTGACTTCTCTCCTGATTCTGTTTCAGTTTGTACGTTTCTGCTGAAAATCTGACCTGGGATTCTTGCCTGGGATTCCCATTCAC